CCTAGTAGCGATGCACTTGTTCCTAGTAGCGATGCCCTTGTTACTAGCAGCTTCTTGTTACTACTAGTAAGGCCAGGAGCTCCTAGTAGCGTCTTTGCTCCTAGCAGCGATGCACTTGTTCCTAGTAGCGATGCCCTTGTTACTAGTAGCTTCTTGCTACTAGTAGTGCCCTGGTTACTGTTACTAGTAGCGAACAAATGTGCGAGACAAGGTTTGTCTAAACCGAGATGACGTTCTTTGAAAGCGTTTCTCGGTGCAGGCTTTGACGACTAGACTCCCATGGCACCATCGTTAGGCGCTGGTGACTGGCGACATGACAAACTTTATCCGATCGGTGGATGTCCAGGTGAAGGCTTGCTGGTGCGTCGTTATGTCCCTGCCACTCGGTGATAAGACGGTTTGCACAGTTGGAGGGGATCGCTACCAGGTTGGAGGCCTTCTCCAGTATGTTGGAGGCCATCGCTATTAGGTTGGAGGCCATCGCTACTAAGTTGTTGGAGGCGCAATCGCTAGGAAGTTGGAGGCCATCGCTACTAAGTTGGAGGCCATCGCTACTATAGGCCATCGCTATACTATAAGTTGGAGGCCATCGCTACTAAGTTGGAGGCCATCGCTATACTATAAGTTGGAGGCCATCGCTACTAAGTTGGAGGCCATCGCTATACTATAAGTTGGAGGCCATCGCTACCAAGTTGGAGGCCATCGCTACTAGGTTGGAGGCCATCGCTATTAGGTTGAAGGCCATCGCTATTAGGTTGAAGGCCATCGCTTTTTTTTTTGGAGGCCATCGCTAGTAGGTTGGAGGCCATCGCCAGTAGGTTGGAGGCCATCGCTAGTAGGTTGGAGGCCATCCCTACAAGGTTGGAGGCCATCGCTTTTATAGCTCTCTCACTTCCGACGTTAGAGTTTCATCCGAGGGCCCCGAAGCCAGCGCCGAGGAGGCAAGCCAACAGGACTCAGCCAATTCCCATGGAAAGCTTTTGAACAACTTCAACCAAGAGAATGCACAAACGTCACAAACAATTCACAAGCACATGCAGTGCCAGAGTCATGTTCCAAAGGACTTGTGCTCTGCATTTGTTGATGCAGATCATCGCAGACCTGTTTGGGAAACTGCAGGCGCCAAAGAAGAAGCGCAAAGTGGCCAAGAGGCACCACATCCAAATGGAAAAGCAGGGCAGGGCAAAAAGGCTTGATTGAAATCCTGTTGTCCCACTGACACTGATGCCAAAAAACTTCCTAAAGCTCAAGGCCTCCAGAAAGCCTTCTTGTTAGGTGCGTCAGGAATCGTCAGAACAAAGAATGCATTCGACGCACGCAACCGGTCTCAGGGTGGTGGAAGTGAAACCCAGCTTCGCACGGATCTTCAAAGGGGGTCCACAGCGGGAAAAGTCCGACCTTCCAGCACCTCGGCATGACCGCATTTGAGCAGCGGGATGCACCCGGACGCAGGGCGTTGTGCAGCGCAGGGCGACGCAGGGCAATGCTGAGGTCCAAGAAGATGAAGGCCTTCAAGAAATCCCTGGTGAGACTGAGAACAAGACACAGGCTGGCCTGAAGGCACTTGACCAACCGCTGCCTTGGACATTTCGATGAACATGCTTTGACAATGAAGTCGGCACAGCCTCCTTGTAGAATTTGAGTTCTTTTTGACATGTACTCTTACAGCACTTAGCCCTTTTTACAAGTACTTGTAGCACCCCTCGTAGCCTCTTATAGCTTTTACTTTTACATTGTTCTTGAGATTGCTAAGTGTGTCTTTCGTTGCGCGTATACTTCGCTCGCACCTTGTCGCACAATGAAAAGACACAAATAGGCAAACTTAAACATACGTAGATTGGAGGCCATCGCTACAAAGTTGGAGGCCATCGATACTAAGTTGGAGGCCATCGCTACTAGGTTGGAGGCCATCGCTACTAGGTTGGAGGCCATCGCTACTAGGTTGGAGGCCATCGCTACTAGGTTGGAGGCCATCGCTACTAGGTTGGAGGCCATCAGGTTGGAGGCCATCGCTACTAGGTTGGAGGCCATCGCTACTAAGTTGGAAGCCATCGCGCTACTAGGTTGGAGGCCATCGCTAAGGTTGGAGGCCATCGCTACTAAGTTGAAGGCCATCGCTACTAGGTTGGAGGCCATCGCTACTAAGTTGGAGGCGCCAGGCCATCGCTACTAAGTTGGAGGCCATCGCTAGTAGGTTGGAGGCCATCGCTAGTAGGTTGGAGGCCATCGCTATTAGGTTGGAGGCCATCGCTATTAGGTTGGAGGCCATCGCTAGTAGGTTGGAGGTAGGTTGGAGGCCATCGCTACTAGGTTAGAGGTAAAACATTTTCTTGGCTCGACACATTTAGCTTGAAGCTCGGCAGGAGAGTGATGCCGGCGTCTCGTGGCTATCCTCTTTGGTGCAGGTGTGGGGGGAGGTAGGGCGAAGGGGAGAAGTATGTGAGTGGCTGGTAGCTCGGCTGGAAGCCAGGAAGTATCTAGTTGATAAGTAAATAGGAGCTAGAAGCTTCCTTGGGAATCGTTTCACGTGTCGTAGCAAGAACACTACTAGTAGCTAGGATACAGAATGGCTCGAGGTCACGGAAGCCCTAGCCTCGAGGGGTGAATCATTAGATGAATAGAGCGTCTGAAGCCAAGGTTGCTGGGTCTCCACTCTTTAGCTCGTTTTTGCTACATTTTGATTCAAATAACACCATTGAAAAAACATATATACATACAATTGTTTTTTTGTTTTCATTGTCTTTTTTTTCTATAAAAATAGAGAACAACACAAATATATTTTATTAATTTTTCTTCATACCCACTTGCCAGGAGCAGCCCAAGGCTGAGGTGGTACGTGCCTCAGCCACAGTCCGAAGCGTTCTTCCTGCCCTGAAGAAGCACCCGCTGAGAAATACAACAAAGCTTTCCAGGACTACCTCTCCTTAGTTGAACCTCTCCGACTAGTTGCTTCATAGTTACCCTCTGCTTCCGGTGTGGGGTCGCGAGCGTTCACATTAAGTTTTTTGGACTGCTGTACACATAGGAGCAAGGACGCTACTAGGGGCTCCTGGCATCGCTACTAGGAGTAAGGACGCTACTAGGGGCTCCTGGCCTCGCTACTAGGAGCAAGGACGCTACTAGGGGCTCCTGGCATCGCTAC